CTAGGCAAGCACTCTTTCTACTGAGCCATCTCCCCGGTCCCACTATCTTTATTTCTTCAGGAGGATTAGAACAGCAGCGAGTCAGGAGGTGTCCCTGAGCAATGAACTGTCAATACTACTGCTTCCACTATGCTATGGGAATTTCTGTATGTATGTTAGATGTATAAAAAGAAATCGGTAGATCTGTACATCTGAGCTTGAGGTTCTGGCTTTGACTTTTATTTCTTTCTAGGAACTATGCAGAGTGATTCATAACATAGCTTGCATTACATTTTCTTTCCTTAATTTTCTTTCTTTAATGAGTCCTTGAGATTTCTTGCATTTACTGGAATTACATAAAGAGACTTTTAGTACCTGCAGATTAGAGTTGCTCTTTGGAGGTATATTTAGGTCAAAGCACAATAGAAATCCTTCTGCATTTCTTCTTTGGAAGTATAATAACTTAGGTGAGGACAGACTAAGTGAGCTTTCAGATGGTCTGGTTTTGAAACTTACCAGTATTACCTATTATTTAATAAAAGCTCTTAATCACATATTCTTTAATTTAAGCAAATTATTTGGATTTATATACTCATATATCTTTAGTGATTTTTTTGGCTGGCATTTCTATTAGCTTTAAGGCATATGGAAGAAACAGAAAATACTGATTTTTAAATCATATAGTAGTTTGTTAATATACTAAGTTTTTAGCACCATCTGAAAATTACTTATGACTTGTAAGAGTTAGTACTTTAATTTAATAAGTTATAGGAGCAATAGCTAAAAGGGTAGAATTTGATACAGCATAAAATAAAATAATTTTTCATTGGTTACCAGACATATATACAGCTCAGGCATGCTAATCTTTAGCATGTATTGAAAGAAAAAGCACTGTATTGGTTTCCTTTTTTCATTTCGCCAATTCCATGTGTGTTACGTGAACTCTTTCAAAGATCAAAGAGAAACTGAAGGCTTACCTGTTACATTTACACCATCTGACCTTTGACACCAGACTGTCCGGGAAGAGCCCTTCCAAGCACTTGCCATCCACTGATACTCATAGCACTGCCCATCTGCAAGGAGGCGACTTACATTAGCAGGGTCTGGTAGCCCCAGGACAACCATGGACACAGATGATTAACAGAATGCTTATGGAAATTGCTGTGTTGATAACCCATTCCGAGAATTCAGATATCAATTTCATGTCTCCAAGTTTCTGTACAAATGCTATAAAATTGTAGTGATATACCTAAATCCCAACTAATTTTCATGACTGCTGTCACAAAATCTTGCAGGAACTTGAGTTTGTGATTTAATTTCATGGCTTGTTTTTAAATATGAGTTTCATATTTCATAACTTCATTTGAGTGTTATGAAATATGAAACATGTAGGTAGTCATGGAGAAGTATGGATTCAACTATTATTACATAATTCTAAAGAATATTCCTACTTAGCCATATTTCTTTAGTTCTCGTTTGCTTGTTGATGAATAAAATAAGAGATACACACTTGATGTCTAGTTATCTTCTGTTCCAATCTCTTTCTTTCCCAGCCACACATACCATTT